TTGTGACTCTACGCAGCAGTACAAAACATTTCCTGCAAGCCGTGTTATTTTTGGGTGTCTTACATTCTTTTCTCATTTTGAATACTCTGGCTTTAAATTATTTTTTTAAAATAATTTGTTTACTCAGGGATTAAAGGTTTCACTGCTGAAATAGAAAATAATTTGAGCTTTTTGACTGTGAAGCAGTTTCTTCTTTATCAACAGTAAAGGATTCTTGTGCAATAAATGGATTTGAAGGCATTAAAATACAAAAAGTGAAGACGGCTTTTGAACCAGGTTATAAATTTTCACGGAGTTCATAATCTTCATCAAATTTCAACGGTAACAATATTTATTTTAAATGTTTGTTTTTTGCTGCGCTGCTTAAGTGGTTTTCGCCTGTGCAATATCTAATGGAAATTAGTACCTCTTTATGCGCATTCTATTTATATTTTGCTTTTTAGCAATAACCTCTCTTTAGTTTTTGCAAAGTTCCTTGCCTAAACGTTCCGGTCACTTTTATGCATGATTTGTAGCAGGATTTGTCTGCTTTGTTTGATATTTCTTATCAAAACACGTATCGATTTAGTGGAGCAGTTATTTTTTGTAACATCTTATGACATTAAATCAGCTTGTAGTAATTTTGCATATCGAATAGAAGCCTAAGCCGCTAAAAACAACTTAGCGCAGCAAAAACCCAAACTTTTATACACAGAGTACTTATCAATCAAATACTCTGAACCTTTATATAAAAAAATCAACATCACCAAAATAATTAACATCACCAATAATAAACCCGAAGTCCTCAAAGAGCTCAACATTATCTGTTTATACAAATACTACACACCAATTGGACCTAAAATATTTAACTGTAACAAAATACTCAAAAATATCAGCAACACAAGCACATTAACTGACATCCCACAAAAACAGTGTACATGTGCATTACTACCAGACATTATTAAAACCAACGAACATATAGTTACTGGAAATTATGACCTCAAATTAACCCAATTCAAGGATTTATTAACTAGGCACAGAATTCCTCCTACCTTTCAACCTCACCCGGGAAGAACTTATTAAAGAAATAGATCTCGCTTTTGAAGAACTAACCAGCAAACGAATATCGAAATACCACTGTACAATACAAAATTGCAACAGATGGAAAGATCTGATTAAAACCCCAGTTACCGAATCACGCCAAACCCTAACAAGCTTAACAACCAACAAGAATCATTATTATCCAAATTCAACAAACTCTTATACGCAAATGAAAACAACCCGAACTACATCATCACCCGACTAGATAAAGCAAATAAAAGCTTCGGATAAATATGCAAAAACTACTATATAACCACTTTATGTAACGAATTAAGCATTGTATTAACACGAATACATCACAACAACAAACTAACTTACAAAGTTACTTGTCATGACAACGAGCTATACAAAATGATACAAATAGACGAAATATCAATAATAAACAAACATTACAACTTCGTACACCTCTTTGGTGCGGCAAGATTTTATTAAAACATGCCAAACATTCAAATACAACAACTTCGGAAGAGGCAAATACTATACTATCAACGGTACCAGCCAATCAATGCACTATTTAAACAAATGCAGATACACTAACAAAGATATGGCGACAGTCGACTTCTCCACGTCATTCACTAAATTACCACACGATACCATTTACAAATGCATAAAATACTTTACCAGACTTGGATTCAAAAAATCCAACGCAACATTTCTAATCTGGACAGGCATTAACTGCCTCTTCAGCAATAATTCCAGCAATAATAGCACACACAAGAACAATACCGAACCCAAAATGTATAACCTAGAGACGTAAAATATTCCACCAACTACATACACTTCGCCAACATCACTAGAACTTTCATAGCTAATTTAAAAAACAATGGATACCTGGAACAATAGATACAAAAAACATTTGAAAAATTTCTTTCTAAAAACCAAAATTACCTGACTAGACAAGGACCAGGACTAAAACAACAAATGTCAAAGTACCTTTTCTTTCTTAAACTGCTTATTTAGTGTTTATTAGAATCAATATAAATATAAATAAATAAATATATATATATATATATATATATACGTATGTACTAAAAAAGTAATGCTCTCTGATTAAAAAAGAGCAATGAAAAAAATACTTCTTTTTTGAAAATTTAATACTTTTTGTAAGTTTAAATAACTGCGCGTCAGGCAGTTTTATTTGGTTACTTCATTTGAATAGAAATATTTTTTTGTACTTTGTTCCTTGTTTCAGCAGTTCTAAATCTGAACAATCTTTTGCTTTTCATTTTCAGAGGATTTAGAAACCGCAGGTTGTGCAGCAGTTACTGTAAGAATAACACATCTGAAATGGCTAGCAAAAAAAAACTCAGCAGATTTTTTTTTTGCTCAAACTGATAAAGTGTCATTAAAAAAATTCATTCATAAAGAAAGAAGAAAAAATTAGAAGGAAATTTTTAGGAAAAAATAGTAATATGTGCTCTGTATACAGAGAACGCAGAATATAACACAAACATAAGATTAAAAAGATAAAGTAAATAACTTTGCAGGTATTAAGGTGTGCGTATTACAAAGCAGATGAAAGCGTAGTTTTAACTTGTTCTAGCGTTCGGTTCTGCAGACGGCTAAGACGTGACTTATAAGATAAATAAATATAGTAAGCTTGCGAAAAGATACGCAAAATTTGAGCATTGTATATTATAAAAAACGAAATGCTGAATGTAAAGATGTGGTTGGCAGCTTAATTTAAAAAGAACTTTTTTATGCATTGCTCTTTTGTCATCAGGTCTTTAATTTTTTGATTTAACAAATAATTCTACAATTATTCGCTGAAAAATTATGAGATCAGATCAGTCTTTGCCGCAAATTCGACAAGATTTTCGACATTGCTTACGCAGAACAGTCCTGTAAGCGGGGTCATCACAGCGTTCACTGTGCTTCACACAGTTTGGAGCTGTGTCTTCACAGCTTAGATTTAATTCAATGGCGCATCTGTGCCAATTAAAATTATAAAATTGGCAGTACTTTCTGGTTAGAAAGTCAAAAAGTTCCACCTTACTTCAGGTCGTAATTCTTGTGATAACTTTTTTTTTCTTTTTTTTTTTCTCTAAGAACATAATCTTTGTGTTTTAGGGTATTTTCCTTTCGTTTTTTGATAGCAAGCAAAGCATGTGCTTTTTTAAAAAATCCATAATAATTCAAAACTGATCTTATCTTGTTTCTTTTTTGTTGGTTCTAATCTGTTGATAAAATATTAAACTTTTTTTGTTTTTGTAAGTAAATTTTGAAATTACTAATTAGTTATTCTAAGGATAGCAATATCGACAAGAAATTCTACAGTATTTCCTCATAGGCGATACGTAGTAGTAATTGTCACAAAGTTCAGACCACTGTTGGCTGTTTTATGACTTTCTGAAATTTAAAAATTATGAAAAAAATTGCAGATAATTTCTGGAATTATGCGCGAGCAGTTTGATTTAATCTCAACTCGAATTGCTTAAATGCAAATTTTCATTCTTTCAAATTCTTTTTTCAAAAATGGTTCAACGTTCACAGGCAAGATTTTAGGCAAATTTTCAAAGCAACAATGAATTTGAAATTTCCTACACACTACTGGTTCATTTGAAAGTTTCAATTTACTAATAAAGTCAAAGAAGTTTTTTTTGATCAGAAAAAATAGGAATATTTGACGTGACCTACCAGTATAACTACAAAATCCACATGTTTTTCTGCAGCTCTTTCTCAAGTACGTCGCGTAGGCTGATTTGTCACAAAACCCAAAAACTTTTCATCTTCACATTTTACAAGTAATATATAACAACATTAATAATAATAATAATAATAATAATAATAA